TAAGTCCCCAGGTTTGACTTAAGAATTGTCGGCTTTTAGGGTTAAATCTGATATTAGATTTAATTAACTAACTTCAAAAGTCTAAAAAAAAAAATTACCAATGGTCTAAATATAACCCTTTTAAATCTTTCTCCAGTCTAGTACACTATAATGTAGAGAAGTTGGAAAATAATGGCATTTTTTATAGATTGCTTTAGACTGAAAAAAAAAAAGGACGGAGAAAAATCCTTTCGAGTATCTTGTGTTTGCTGGCTTTAGAGGAGAAAGAAAAGGGCTACTTAGAGAATAAGCTATTTTTGTTCCGCCACTTTCATTTTCTTTCGATTGGAAAGAAATGGATGGGCTAGAGTACTTATGTTTAACCTCACACGCACCACAAAAAAAAATATATATATAAAAAATCCCCATTTCAACCAAATTGAAACAAATTAAAGGGATAATTTCAGAAATCTCCCTTAAGATTTCTAATGATTGCAGCCACCTCCAATGAGATATGAAAAATTATGGAAACCTCCTCTAGAAAATATATCTTGGAAATAATTGATGATATAAGAAAAAATATCCAATGAATATCCAAAATTACCCCACTTTGATATGTAAAACAAATTAAATGCTAAAAAAATAACTACCGCCATTATCCATTAGGTGAAATTTTCAAATTAGATTTTTTGTAGGAAAATTTAATCAATGTTCTAGAAGCATTCTTCTTTGGTACTTTGGACATAATTTTTTATTAAATAATTTTTTAAAATACTTATTTTAACAATTGCCTCCCTATTTGGTGGATCGACTTTTGTAAATTGATTAATAAATCTAGTCAAAAAAATTGAGAATGAAGTATAATGTACCATATTAGATGATGTTAGAGTTTTACGATAAAGAAGTATTACCCAAAAAAAATAAAGAATTTTCATTTTTCTCTTTTAAACTTATTTTCACGTAAAATTTGTAAAGTTTGTGAAGGCTATCATAGTTTTTTCATAACATTAAGGAAGGTAAGTATAATTTTTTAAACCTTAGGAGAGGTGGTTGTAATTATCAAAAATCTCAGGAGAGATTTCTGAAATTATCCCCAAATTAAATTTATGTTTGTGATTGACTTTTTCTAGTAATTGCATGGACCAATTCTCCAATTTTTATATTTCCACGATCTCTTTCAATCCTCCATTCTCAGACATGCAAATAATCTTCTCTATATATAGGAAATACTAATATTAGCTCCCAAAGCGTCATCCCACGTCTTTATGTTGCAATCTTATCAATTAAATTATTAAAATCACACCCAACATATGTCACAATTCTCAAGGAATAGCCCTGCAATATCTTAATTTGCTGGGAACATCTTCGTAATTATGACATACTTTGGGGGTATAATAGTTTAATTTACACCTATAAATAAATCAAACACTCACTCCCATAGAAGTTGACATAAATCAAACACACACTACCATAAAAGTTGACGAAGATTCGATCAAAAGAACTCAAATAATGGAGATGTCAGCCTATAGCTCCATCGCAGTTCTTTCTTCTTGCTTTGTTCTTTTGACATTGGCATGGAAACTGTTCAACTGGATTTGGTTAAAGCCCAAGAAGCTTGAGAAGCTGCTCAAACAGCAGGGCTTCAAAGGGAATCCATACAGACTTCTGTTTGGAGACTTGAAAGACATCTCAAACTCAGCAAGAGAAGCTCGGTCCAAGCCAATTAGTTTGTCCGATGATATTATCCCAAGAATCATACCTGAGTTCCATAAACTTGTCCAAAAATATGGTATGTTCTTGTAATCTCCCTCATTCTTATCTGTTTGTGTCGGTTGCATCCTGATAGCTCGTTGTCGAGGAAAAAGTCAACGCTCGGAAACAAAATGCCTCGGTTATGCTTCCTCTGTTTTTATATAAGATGCCTTCTTTTACCAGTTTATTGTATAAAAAACAAGAAAAACCAGATAGAAAAGCAGAGTAAATTGAATCCTTTTTGTTTTTCTGGTATTTTAGTATGGTTTGTTCCATTGAAGACCTGCCGGTAAGCGAGGCAATGTCAAATATCCCATCGCAGAATTAGAATAATCCGTGTACTGTGACATTTTTTAAGGTAGTTTGTTCATGACATGAAAAGATAATTGAAGAACATCTGTAAGGGAATGTCTAAAAAATCATCGTCTAAAACATTTGATAGTTTTGTTGGTGAGACAGAAATAACTTTATCCATATAAGTATGGTTAATGCTGTGTACAAGATCAATATTAAATACAGACTTAAGTTAGCTTGAACTGTCAACTGCACCCCATAATCCATTAATTAGTTGTGGAGGCCTATATTGCACCCTAAAATGTACTCCTTGAACCGAGTTGGACCGCTTGAAAGTAATCCTCTGCTGTAACAATTAACATGCCTGATGAATTGACCAATATGTTATAAGTGAATAGCACAGTATAAAAATTAGCCGAAGAAAGTATTACTATAAATTGATACAGAACGTCTAATGGTGCATCTGTTTCATGATGTTTTTGTCATCTGACGTGCCAAATGCTTTCTAGCTACAAATTGGAGTTAAAAAGGATTGATCATTTTTTCCGGGCTCCTCCTGATTTGTGCCAAAGTTAATCGTGATTTGTCAGTGTTGGGTGATTAACTTCAAATTTTTAATTTCATTGAAAACGAGTGGTGATAACCATTTTGCAGGTACGAAAACATATATATGGTATGGGCCAGAGCCAGCTATATTCATCCAGGACCCTGAACTCTTAAGGGAGGCTGCCCAAGCAATTACTGTCTTTCATAAGCCTGATGCTGGCCAATTCACCAGATTGTTGACGCCAGGACTAGCAAGCTACAATGGAGACAAATGGGCAAAACACAGAAAACTCATTAACCCAGTTTTCAATGGGGAGAAGTTGAAGGTTTTCTCTAATGTCCTTTGTTTTTCTCCTAGTTAATCAAACAGCAACCAATTTAGAAAATGCTGTAAGTTTGAGCTCTTATGTAGGAATTTCCGGATGACCTTTAAGCCAAATATATTGAATTTGGAAGTAACGTGTTTGTTCTAAACTATGTGAAGAAAGAAAAGAAGAATGCTTAACTGACAAAATGACCTCAAGAAATTCTACCATTCAAGTGGCAATACTGATGATGTCTTCTTTTGTTTGTCTTCTTTCTTTTTCTTTGCACATAGACCATGCTCCCTGCTTTTCAAACAAGTGCTAGTGAGATGATGAGAAAATGGGAGGAGATTGTTTTGCCAAAAGGGTCTTGTGAGTTGGATATTTGGCCCTATCTTCAAAGGGTAACTTGTGATGCAATTTCCAGGACTGCATTTGGCAGTAACTATGAGGAAGCAAGGAAGATATTTGAACTTCAAGGAGAGCAGCTTGAGCATTGTGTCAAGGCTGTATGGTCCATGTTCATCCCTGGATGGAGGTAAAGATTGTATATTTATACAGAACATATTAAGTAGAATTCATTAATTAGCCTGCTTGCAAGGCAAATTTATCTCTGAAGTACCATAATTGAACATCACTGTAAAAGGGAATGTAACTTTTTGTTTACTAAAATTTTATCAGGTTCTTGCCAACTAAGAGAAACCGAAGAATGAGACAAATTGAGAAAGAAGTTGATGATTCAATCAGGAGAATTGTAAATTCAAGATTAAAAGCAATGAGAGCTGGGGAATCCTGTGATGATGACTTTTTGGGTAGATTACTAGAATCCAATTCTCAAGAAATTCATAAACATGGGAGCAAGGGTGTTGGAATGAGTACCCAAGAGGTGGTAGAAGAGTGCAAGCTCTTCTATTTTGCAGGACAGGAGACAACCTCAGTGCTGCTTTTGTGGACAATGATATTATTGAGTAGGTATCAAAACTGGCAGAAACGTGCTAGAGAAGAGGTTTTGCAACTATTTGGCACTAACAAACCAGATTATGATGGCCTAAATCGTCTAAAAGTTGTAAGTACTCTTTTGCACAGGGAAATTGATCTTTATGCATATGCTTTTGGTGAAAATCCAATCAAGGAGATCTTAATGTTTCTTCTTTTGTGTACAAATCCATACTGTTACGTCACAGGTAACTATGATATTATATGAAGTGCTAAGGCTATATCCACCGTTACCTGTCAATAGTCGAAGAACAGCTGAAGAAGCTAGATTGGGCAATCTATCCATCCCTGCTGGAATTCTAATCTTAAAACACATAGCGTTAATTCATCATGACCCTGAATTATGGGGGGATGATGTGAAGGAGTTCAAACCAGAGCGATTTTCTGATGGCGTGTCAAATGCAGCAAAGGGTCAAGCTGCATTCTTCCCATTTGGTTGGGGACCTCGTATCTGCACTGGTCAAAATTTTTCTATGTTGGAAGCAAAAATAGTGATGGTGATGATCCTGCAAAGATTCTCCTTTGAATTTTCACCATCCTACTCACATGCTCCCTACTCACTGATCACACTTAAACCACAGCATGGAGCTCACTTGATTTTGCAGAAGCTGTAGGTTGTACTAAATAACTTGGAAATCCTATGTGGATTTGGTGTTTTCACAAATCATTCATAATCTAATGTTGGTTTCGCTAGTAAAATGGTTGTAATGTGTACTTGGGGAGTTATTTTACTGTCCCAAGATGCAATAATCATCGTTTTCTAGAAATTTAGCAAATTTTGAGTTTGTGGATGAGAAAATTGTGCAGAACTTGTATGAATACTGAAATTACCACAGGTTGTAGATGGGGAGGTTTTGTTACTCCTAATGACCGGTTTGGAGGGCAATCAATCCTACATCGTGTTGTGACAAAAGAATTGGACAAAATGTGAGAAAGTGTACAATTTTCTATTCTTAAAAAAAAAAGGGGGTTAAATCACACTTTTCTTACTTTACACATTCAATGCAGTAATCACTTCTGCTTCTTAATCATGCCAAATTACCCTTGATTTAAGAAGTTTATCAGTTTGATCTAAGAATTTGACGTTACATCAGAAATGTGGTGTGACTTGCAAGTAAGAATTCATATATGTGGTATGGGCCACAACCAACAATTGTTGTTCACGACCCTGAACTCACAAGGGAGGTGACACCAGAGATTAATCTCTTTCAAAAGCCTCATGCCGGTCAATTTTTCACATTGCTGGCGCCAGGACTGGTTAGCTACAATGGAGACAAATGGGCCGAAAACAGAAAACTTATTAATCCAGCTTTCCATCTCGAGGAGTTGGAGGTTAATCTGATCTGGTTTAGATTTTGTACCAAGACCAGTTGTCAAAGAATTTCTAAGAACAGTAACTAATTTCAAAGAAACAAAAGATAAAATGCACAATGATCACAAACAGCCGAAGGATTTCTATCACAAATAGACTAGGAACTCTTATCCTGATGTCCCATTTTTTGTGACCTTTTATTTACTTTCTGCAATATAGTGTATGATCCCATCATTTACGACGAGAGCAAGTCAAATGATGAGCAAATGAGGGGAACTTGTTTCGCCAAAAGGGTCTTTTGAGTTGGATGTTTGGCATCATCTTCAAACTCTGCCTTCTGATGCAATTTCACGGACAGCATTTGGCAGTGACTATGAAGAAGGAAAGAGGATAATTGAACTTCAAAGAGAACTGGCAGAGCACTGTGTCCAAGCTCTAGCTTCAGTGTTTATCCCCGGATTGAGGTGAATCCTTTACTACTGGCAATGCAGTTCTGTAGCTCGAAATAATCAGAAACAATGTAGTAAAGCAATTATGTCGCTTGCATGCTAACTTGAAATTTTTTTAGGTTCTTGCCAACAAAGAGGAACAGAAGAAGGAGACAAATTGCCAAAGATGTTGAGGATTCGATTAGAGAAATTATCAGTTTCAGAATGAATTCCATCAGAGCAGGGGAAGCCTGTGAGGATGACTTGTTGGGCATACTACTTGAATCCAGTTCTCAGGAAATTGACAATCATGAAAGTAAGGACTTCGGTATGTCTATCGAAGAAGTCATTGATGAGTGTAAGCAGTTCTATTTTGCAGGACAGGAGACCACCTCAGCACTGCTTGTGTGGACTATGATCTTATTGATTAGATATCCAGACTGGCAGGCACGATCTAGGGATTGTTGTCGTAACTTTTTGGTGAACTGTGTTTTTGTTCAATTAGACAAATCATCAATTCAAGATTGAATGAAATGAGAACAGGGGAATCCTGTTCAGATGACTTGTTGGGAATGTTATTACAATCAAATTGTCAAGAAATTGATAAGCATGGAAACAAGGACTTTGGTATGACTATCGAAGAGGTCATTGAAGAATGCAGGCTGTTCTATAATGCAGGACAGGAAACATCTTGTGTGCTGCTCGTATGGACATTGATATTATTGAGTGGGCATCAAGAGTGGCAGGCATGTGCAAGAAAAGAGGTTTTGCAAATCTTTAGCACTAACAAACCAGATTTTGATGGATTGAATCGTCTAAAACTTGTAAGTGATTTGCAGAAATGTTATAGTATTTGGTTTCCAGTAATCATCCATCTAAATCCTTGAAAATGTTGTCAAGGTTACATGTCCTTGATGCCTAAGATGTAGCTGGTAGACATGCATGACAGTCCACTGACCTGCAACAAATCTACAAAGAATGCTACTAATACTTGGAATTCTTACAAACGCACAGAAATCTTTTGACCTTCAGATTTGGTAAAGCTGGAAAACATTGAACTCATAGGATCCTCAAGTCTGGTTCTTGTTATGTCCGCTAGAATAAACACAAGTTTGACAGCAAAATGCTCTCCACTCAGGGATGCCTAAAAATGTATTTTGCGTGTATATAGGTACGTGTTTTGTTTAAAGCTCATACAATTGTTTGAAAATGTACAATTGATGAAAGCTCTTGATGTTTTCTTTCTTGGGTGAATCCTTAACACCAAATACCAAATGTTAGTATTTTGTACGATATATGTTGCTTTTTCTGGAGCTATGTTACTATCAGGTAATGATATGATTCTTGTATTCAGAGTTCAAAAACTAATTAATGCATTTGATAAAACTGAAATCTGAATTGTTAAGTCCTGCCATACCGTTTGAACGAATTCTCCATCAAGTTGTTAGCAAACAGCTTATCGCATATTTTTTTAAAATAAATTTTGGCTAGACAATTCAATTCAAATACACTTAATTAATGAATGAAGATGTTATATTTTTTGTTATTAAACACGTTTGAGCATGTTAAAATCTAAATCATTAAATTTAAATGTTGAAGGAGAGTTATCAAAGAGCGAAATCGTAAACCCTATGAATCTTGAAGTAAGCACCATCAGGCTGAGTTCTTTTTCAGTATCTATTTTGGAGAAGAATTAAGAAAGGGAGGTTTCTCATCGTAAACCCTATGTTGGTTTGAGAGCCCAGAAAGAAAAGAGTCATGCTGTGTGACTTGTCTAACATTGAGAAGTTTTCGAATTCATTCTACTCTACTTTTCCTCTTAACATATTCTTGTAGTTTCTCTTATACTTCATACCACACATTTTAGCTTTTTCATCTTTTCTTTTTCTCTCCTAATATCCTAGACGAATCAGGAGATGGTCATTGTAGTATAACTCAATATCATTTTTGAGAAAACTAGGCAGGAAAAAGTAATTACAAAGCATAAGAATTTCCTAACTAGGCAATGGAGTCTCAATTAAAGGGTAGATATGAAAGTCAAGAGATTTCTCATTTAGAACCAAAACAGAGAGATAGAGAGGGGGAGAGAGAAAGATTTCTCATTTCTGTCACTCTACAATTTTCTTTGAAATTGGAATTGGAAGGAAATGATGAGGCTGGACAACTTGTTTACAATTCTGTTCAATTGGTCAAGTAGGATATATCACTTGATATGTACTAAACTTTATTTTGTTCAAAATCCAATATCCCTTTTCTTCGTCTTCATTTTTGTTAAGTGTTAACAACACTATCTCTTCTATTAAGTAATTTTCTAGTTAGAAACATGACTAACTCGTAGGATTTAGCAGTATATTTCAAAAGCTCAATTACATATTGTACCATGTTTCTCAATCATTGATAATTGAACACTAAAGTAACATATCATAGAATTTGAAGGGGAGTAATGCAATTTAAGAAGTTGCAGGGGAAATGTTGCAAACTATGATATACTTTTGGGAGTTTAAGTAACAGTCTAACTTAATAAATAATTAATCTGGTTCCGAGACGAGAGAAGTTGACCAAATGCCGATGATCAATGGACAGAGCACCGGCAGCGTACTTGAGCTCCATCGTCCTCGTTACAGCGCTTTCCTCTGCTATTTTTCTTGTAGCATTGGCATGGAAGCTATTCAAATGGGTTTGGTTGAATCCCAAAAAGCTTGAGAAGCTCCTCAGACAGCAGGGATTTAGAGGGAATTCTTATATACCAGTGTTGGGAGATGTGATAGCAATGTCAACCTTGCTCAAACAAGCTCACTCCAAGCCCATCAATCTCTCCGATGATATTGTCCCAAGAATCATTCCTGAATACCTTGATCTGGTCAAGAAACATGGTACTGCACTTGTATTATGTTCTGCTTGCATCATCCATAAATGACCTTATTGATTCACTACGCAAGTGTTTGTCTTTTATACAATTGTGTGGAAGCTAAATAAAACCATCACGATTTCTGTGATTTGGAATAGAAATATCAATATCTGTGAGGATCAGAACTGACCATCACAGCAAAAAATAATGCTTTTGCCCACTGATGTTTCTATTGATAGCATGTCAACATTTTTCTTCTGGCTGCAAACTGGAGTTAACAAGATTGGTACTCTTTTCCTACCATTTGGTGCCAAGTCACTCTTGATTTCTTGATGTTCTGGTGCTCGTCTATAAGTGTTGGTTTTGAGTCAAAACAAGTGGTGCAATTTACTTGTTGCAGGAAAGAATACATACATATGGTACGGGCCAGAACCATCTGTATGTATCCAGGACCCTGAACTCATAAGGGAGGCTTCGCAAAACATCAACCTCTTTCATAAGCCTGTAGTTAATCAACTTACCAGATTGCTGGCACCAGGACTGATAAGCTACAACGGAGATAAATGGGCCAAACACAGAAAACTCATCAACCCTGCTTTTCATGGCGAGAAGTTGAAGGTTTATCCATTGATTTGTCTGGTTTTTTCCACTAAAGATCACTTAATTTTCAAATCCAGAAATTTTAAGCAATTGTTATATAATTTCTGTATATGGTGACATGTAAATGAGATGAGTTCACCTTAATCAAGTTGTATACAAGAACAAGCATAGAGAAGATGCGTAATTGATAGAAGGGGCTAAAGAAGCTTTATCACTAAATTAAGTTGCAATACTGATTATGATTTTTCTTCCATTGTTTTTGTGTATTTCTTGTTCTTGCTTGCACGTAGCTTATGCTCCCATCCTTTTGTACAAGTGCTACTGCAATGTTGAGAAAATGGGAGGAGATCATTTCACCAACAGGGTTTTGTGAGTTGGATGTTTGGCCCAGTCTTCGAAGTCTGTCTTCTGATGCAATTTCGCGTACTGCATTTGGTAGTAATTATGAAGAAGGCAGGGTGATTTTTGAACTTCAAGGAGAACAGTGTGAGCTTTGCATCAAGTCTCTGTGGTCAATGCTTATCCCGGGATGGAGGTAAATCTTTTGTTAATTCTCTGATTGCAAAAGAATATATTCTTTATATTTTGAAAGTTTGCACTCCTGCAGTTCATCTCAAATTGATCATAAACATTGACCCTGGCAAGAGAAATTGTCTTTAACTGCAACTTAGGTTTTTGTGCAGGTTCTTGCCAACTAAAAGAAATAGGAGAATGGGACAAATTTTCAAAGATGTTACTGATTCAATTAGAGAAATCATTAATTCAAGATTAAATGAAATAAGAGCAGGGGAATTCGGTGATGATGACTTCTTGGGACTATTATTACAATCAAATTCTCAAGAAATTGATAGGCATGGAAACAAGGATTTTGGCATGACCATTGAAGAGGTCATCGAAGAGTGCAGGCTTTTCTATGTTGCAGGACAGGAGACAACTTCGGTGCTGCTTGTGTGGACATTGATTTTATTGAGTGTGCATCAGGAGTGGCAGACACGTGCTAGAGATGAGGTTCTGCAAGTCTTTGGCACAAGAATACCAGATTTTGATGGACTGAATCACCTAAAACTTGTAAGTACTTTCTAGATCGTGCATTGATAAGTTCCATTTGCTCTATGATAAGATTCAAGCTTTTGGAGTCATATTTTCTGCCATCTAAATTCATGACAACTCAAGTTTCAAGATTAGATGTCCTTAACCAAAGGCGCAGCTAGATTAATGTACACACATGCACAACATTTTAAGAAACTGCATCAAGTTTATAAAGATAGTTCCTTGTTATTACAAACTCACCAAAAGCTCATGACCTTTAAATTCAGCAATCGTGCAGTTAAAAAAAATTTCATTATGTCCTTAGATGTTTGGTCCATTAGTTATTTTTTGTGAGGAAAGAACACAACTTTCTTTATTTTTCTTTTTTTTTTTTCTGGTAAGCACAGAACACAATTTGTTAGAAAGCTGCCATTGAGTCAGAGATATCTAAAACGAAAATGTCAATGACAACAGTTTCATGTTCACTAAAACTCATCTTGAGGGCAGGATTAGCCTTTAGACATTTTGCCCAATGAACTACTGTTACTATTGTTCTTATGCCTTTTCCATTCGTTGGTGAATCTTCTTCAGATGAAAATGAAATTATTTGCATGCACATTCTTTTGGAGAAACCCCAAGACATTACGTTCTTCTGCATACATCCTTATTATTACCTCCGAAGCAGAATTCAAGCATGCCTCAAGTGTTTTGAGTTCAAGAATATAACTCTACAGGAAATGGATGCAAAAAAACCAAGAACTGTTTTACCAGATGTTGTAATTGGACATGAAAGATAGGATTCCTACTTAAAATATCACTCAGATGACATATTCTGCTATCCTCAAATCTGAGTGGAATTTTCTGAGTGCAGCAAGTTTCATAACACAATTAAGTGAATTAACATTGACAAAAGTCTAGCTAGAAATCTCACAATTTCCTTTTTCTTCCTCAGGTAACTATGGTTTTGTATGAGGTTTTAAGGTTATATCCACCCATACCAGTCAATGGTAGAATAACGGCTGCGGAAACTAAATTAGGAAATTTATCTCTT